CCCGCAAGAAAAATTTCCCCGAAAGCCATGTAATAAATCCTTTATTGACCAAGCTTGTTCGGTCAAGATGGCTGGATATTGGCCTCGTTCTTTTTTTACAAGTTTATGGACCTCGCAAAAAAAACTCGCAAAAAAAGAACTTGGCCAATATCCAGTCGTCTTGACCTCACACTTGGTCGATCACCCATAGATATTTTCGTGTTGCGGTTAATATACACTCAGCTGTTCACGAGACGATCATATATATGGTTCAGATCCAGCTATCAGGCAATCTGGTTACTGATTGGCGTTATCTGGTCAAAGATGTAGCCTTCATGGTTTTTGGAGGCTCGCCTCATAGGGCAGTTTTCAAACACTTGTTTTGCATTACTACCTTACACAATGGGCTTACACGCGCTCCTTTCTCAGCCAATCAGAAGTAAAACAAAAACCAATTGTGAGTTGGTGGCACACGTTTTCCTGCGCTTCGCGTTAGCTACGTGTATTTGCTTGAAGTTAATTAATTCACTAGATTTTCTGTGTCCTTGGTGATTAGTCAGAGTGATAACCTTTGTTTTGGTTTACTACACTCAAATGAAAACCGCTCTATATGTAATGGTATATACCGTTGAATGATCTATCTCGTATTACTATAAATCTACTAACGTTCTATCACGAATGCCGTTCTCTGATTGGCTACGCTACTCACTGTCTATGCTGTGATAGATAGTGAGTAGCGTAGCAGTGTGCGCTTGTTAACAAAATAACGGCAGCTTCTTGGCGTTTTCAAGGTGTCTGTGAGGAGGATTTAGATAAACTTTTGAAGTACTAGTAGAATTATACTTAAAAGATTAGATTATTCGCTCTCGATTTCTATGCGTCATAGTTGACTCGGGCTACACCCTCGGCAACTGTCACGCGATAGAAATCTCGAGCTCATCTAATTGTTTATTATTAGGCGATGCAACATTATCTAAAGTTATTTGACTGCAAAAAAGGCAATTGGCAATTTTTACACATGTGCCTTCTATACTTAAAGAAGCACTGCTAGTTACCAAAAACGCAGATCGAGTGATGCACCGTGCTGGCACTTCTCTATTTTTGCCCTGCGTGTAAGTGTTTACTATTTCCTTTGGTTGCTTTTGTTTTTCGTTTGCCACTTTTCCCCATGAAGTGGAGAAATAATAGACGGTTCTACGTATGATACTCATTTTCTGCGTTTTCTAGAAGCATTCCGCCATTTATTCCTTTTCTGCTTCTTGTGATAAATAATTATTTTGTGCCAGATTTATTTAATTTTATTTCTTTTATCAAAGAAAAATGCGTGGAGGCCCTTGGTATTGAGAATGGTGGAGTCAAAGATGGCCAGCTGACGGCCTCTTCTGTGTGGATGGGTGTGAACACATTTGGTCCTCAGCAAGCCAGACTTCACAACCAAAAATGGCCACAAGGCTGGAGTGCTGACCTAACTGATAAACAACCATGGCTTAAAGTGTCGTTGCAGTCGGACTATGTGATTACTGGCATCGCCACGCAAGGTTATGGTAATCCAGTCTTCCGTGAATGGGTTGAAAGCTATTACTTAGTCTGGCTGGACACTAAGGCTGGTGAAGTCTTTTATCGTGAGGATGGCAAAGTCAAGGTAGGCGTATGTCTGAAGGTTTTTTTGCATTTTCCTTCCACTTTTAACCCTGTCTAATTTTTCAAGAAAATAGTTTTACTTTAAGGGAACAGTAGAACGTCCTGAAGACTGAAAGAAATTAATTCAAACCAATTTAGTTACATAAAAAAAAACTTCTCTCTGAGATTATTTGAATTTATTAGGTTTTAGATGGTAACAGTGATCACGATACCGTTGTCCGTCATGTGCTAAAGGAGCCCTTTATAACTAAAGAAGTAACTGTCCGGCCCAGAATGTGGAAGGGCAGCGTTGGCCTTCGAATGGAGTTATACGGATGTAAACTTGGTAAGCTCTGTTTATGTAAGAGCCTTGGCGACTCTGTACATGGAAGCGAAGGAATGTGTGAAGTGTGTGAATGTGTGAAAAGAGCAGTGTCATTATTTGATTTTCTATTGTAAATGTATTCTGCTGATCACATTACATCATTTTTACACGATTAATTTAGTTTCTTATTCATTTCACTTCTGAGGTTCGTATAACTTCGAGAGTTGCTTGTAGTCTTCAACTAAAATTCAAGTTCTGTTTTCTTTCGCTACCTCGTCACGAGGTGCCAAACAGACCGTAAGAAAGAAAGAGAAACATTTTTTTCTGGTGATTTCCCTTCTCAAAACTCCAAGGTTAAATTTGCTAAACCTTATTGCTAGGGTCACGTCCATGAGGTGATAGCTGAAGTTAATGTTAAAAAACCTCTTTATTCAGATGATTGTCAAGAACCACTTGGACTAGGAAACCGAAACATTAAAGATGAACAACTGACAGCATCTTCTGCTTGGGGCGATAATCCAGAAAAGTTCGGTGCTCACAGGGGCCGGCTCAATTTAGATCGCTGGCCTCAAGGTTGGACAGCCAGTGTAGAAGACACTTCTCCGTGGTTTCAAGTGAATCTGAACGACCCTATTATTGTAACGAGAGTAGCTACGCAAGGATACGGAGGGCCTGCGGGAATTGGTCAATGGGTAGAGAAGTACCGATTGTCTTGGGAAAATGAAGAGGGTACTTGGCGCAATTACTCCCATCCTCATCGTGTAAGCAGTTCAGCTGTCCACTGGAAGAACAAGGTGATTTACTTTTCTTAAACATCTGGAACATCAAAGCGCGATCTTAGAAGCATTTACTTACTGCATGAGAAGCGTAAGAGCAATGCACGAGCTAAGAGCAAGCGAAGGTAACTCTAGATTCAGATGCAATCTGCAACTGGACTCTCAAGTGACCCTTACCTCAATTAGAGCATAGCTACAACAAGAACCAAATCTTTTATAACATAAGAACAGGGATGGGAAAAACGTGAGAGGCAAATTGTATTCGAATGATAGACTCAAAATTCTGTTTTATGCCTAGTAAAGATACAGAAACTCTTTCAGCTCCGTTTTTGTTTTCCCTGTCGATGCTTTGTGGGACTAGAAGAACTTGTCACTAGTTCCTGCGTTTTAGTGTGCAATGTAGGTTTCCAAAGTACACTAAAACGAGGAAACAAACCTTGTCTAATCTTAACCTTATTTTGCAGGTATTTCATGGAAATAAAGACAAGACGACAGTGGTGTCACACACTTTGCAGAATGTCTTAAAGTCAAGCAAAATCCGTTTCTGGCCCCTGATCAACCATAACTTTGTTTCCATGCGGACGGAACTGTATGGCTGTATGGGAGGTATAGGTTACTTCTTATTCTCAAAAATCTGGCGTCGTCCTATTCTGAAATGCTTGATGATCTTCAGTTAAAGGTGCTATAAACAATTGTACCTCCTTGAGTACAAAGATCGTGTCACCACCGAGGGTGCAAATCACGTGTTGAATACCTAGCAATTTATGCGCTCAAATGTCGTTGAATATTTTTTAAAAGTCTCGATCAATTCAGTTGATCACCATGCTGAGTATCCTTCCTTCTCTTTGCATCTAAGTGTACAGCAATATTTCAATAAAGCGATACCATTAAGCCGTCCTCTCTTGATTGAATTTCCCCCCATATGCAGCTGCATTAATTTTGCGGCTTAGAAATATATTGTCTAAACGTTGTTTGCTTATGTTCTTTAAAACCTTACAGAATCTTCAAAAACCGTAACTGAATGCACTACAATTGGTCATCGCATGACTGGTGAATCAAATCCACCCAGCAAAAAGGATTGCCAATGGCATGTCACTTCATCCAAAGAGGACGGCACGGTAACACTCAAGTTCACAGCTTTTGACTTCTCAAAAAGCGATCCTTTCTGTAGCAAAGACTACATTGAAGTCAGGAACGGCCTTACTAAACATGCTCCCGTAATAGGAAAATACTGTGGAGGCAAGATGCCTGCTCCAGTGCAATCTTCGGGAAATGGTCTCTGGGTTCGTTATGTGGTGTCTGGTGAGATCAAAACTAGGATTGGCATGACTTACCATGATGGTCCTAAAGCCCCTGTACAAAGAGAGAAAGGTATGTTAGTTTTCCTGTTTGTATGAAGATTCCTAAACTGTAATATACCCAGGGTTGCAATGTTGCACGATGTTGCAATGTTCCCAAGAGGAACAACAACCCGCGATTGAGCCTGCCCTAGATCTGAAATACTGCTCCGTTCGCTATTAAAAAATTCGACATTGATTTCATATTATGCTGTTTATTCTCAGATCAACTTACAGTTCTTTTGCTCTTAACTGTTAAATGGCTTTTGTTGTCGCAAAGCTGCATTTGGTGTCTTTTTTTAAAGATTTTTATCATCATTTTTCATTTTTTATCAGAAAATCTGTCCCATGTATTTATCGATCAATCTAAGTGAATTGCGTTGTTTGATAATTTTCTGTTCCATTTGTAGGATGTGGAATTCGAAAACATTCAACTCCACCCAGCCAAACGGACGGACGTACGCCCAAACAATGGCCTGGACAATGGCCCTGGCAAGTAGCCCTACTTCTTATGGGACAGTCTGTTCAACAGTGTGGTGGGGCTCTTATTGCTCCTCGGTGGGTCCTCACAGCAGCTCACTGTTTTAAAAGGTAATGTTCATTTATATTAGTCACTTCTCTTCCTAAAAGCGGAAGCATAATAATGCTTAGTGAAACCTATGGTAATAGTTTCAATGCAGTCATCAAATTTTAATTTTCCATTGTGGGAGAAATTCCAAGGAGAACATAGCGCACAGATAATCAAATAATCAGATTTTTGTTTTTTGTTTTTTCGTGTGTGTGTGAGGTAGGGTTAATCCCCTTCTACCATTGGGTACATAGTGGCCATTTTAATGCCTAACGATTATCTCCACACTCTTTAAGTGTTGCTGACTGAATGTTATCATTACAGCGACATCCCGCCTATACGTTACTGCTATAACTCGCATATGTTCATTTGACTATGCTGTGTATAATATCGATGGCTGTTAACATTTCAATTTGCTTCTCAGTAATACAGGGCTATAAAGCCGTCCAACCCATTCCGTACTGCCCATTTCAGATGGCTGCGTCGTACCTTTGTTGCTCTCGTTTTCGCTGTTTACTTGAAATGCAAGTTGACGAAATAAGAAGTTTATTTATTCCGCGTAAATCATACTTTTTATTACTTAAGGTCATTCCACTGAAATAGAACCTGCACTGAGATGTTTGTCAATCTTTACCTATTGATTTTTTATATTATATGAACTTTTGAAATAAAAATTTAGGGGTCCCTGTGTTCGTTTAGGAGCAACAGCAACTAGTTTTTACCAAATAAATCCTTATAATCGCACCATGATCATAGTCACGATTTCTTGCTAAATTCACGTTTCCGACGATTGCTTCTTGTTCTACGCTGAGAATTTGGTCCTTATTTATTTTACATAGAGAAATTTATTACTCAATTCAAAACAACAGAAAAAAAAAATGATAGGTCACCGTACTCGTTTTTCAGAAAATGACGATTTACCTCTATGGCGAGGTCCAGCCGTAAAGAAAAGCCGCCATTTTTTAATGCGCGCGCGCTAATCACGCGTGAAATTACGCGCAGTAGGGATGCGCAATGCAGTGCTGGGGAATGACCTTAACTCCGTACATATCTCTCATACTAATAAAGCACAGTTCCGGGTAAAATTCCCTACTTGCATTTGCAGGTTCAAGCAGCCTCTTCAATGGGTCATACGTGCCGGAGAGTTTGATCTCACCCTAGAGGAAAATTCCGAGCAAAACATACGAGCTGAAGCAATATATGTTCATTCTTCATACATATCTGCTACAAACGAGAATGATATTGCCTTGGTGTACCTCGAAAAGCCGGCGCAGGTGAACGACACAGTTGACATAATTTGCCTTCCCGATGAAGGAGACGTTCAGCCTGGAAGCTCTTGTGCTTCTGCAGGGTGGGGTTTTACACCAAATCTGCATCATACTTCTGCGCCACTAAGATCACAGGTGGTGCCCGTTGTATCTCGCCAGGAATGTAATAGATTCAGTTCCTACGGCGGTCTGGTAAAAGAAGGAATGATTTGCGCAGGGTTTGCGAAAGGCGGCGAAGATAGCTGTTACGGAGATGGTGGAAGTCCTCTCATGTGCCAAATCTCGCAAGGAAAGTGGGTTGTTGGCGGGATTAATAGCTGGGGGCAAGGTTGCGGACTCCCTGGCAAGTATAGTGTGTACACATTCACGGAGAAGTACCGAGACTGGATTAATCGACACTTGCAAGCAAACTGATCGTCGGTTGTGGAAATGGGCGCTGAAGCAATAGTTTATTCAACTCTGCCATGGGTATTTAAATAGTCCAACGTGAAACTTATAGCTGGCCCCGGTTGACTTGCCGTTTCGTTTGGCACATGCTAGGAGCTGCTCATCTTGCTCAGTTTCCCAGCTTGGACACCTCAGCTGGGAAACCTCGACGTTGCACTTGTGTTGGTCGATCATTCTTGACACATTGTAAAAGGAAATGTTAAAGTTACCTTAAGTTTATTACAACCAAACCAGACATTTAGTGTTTTTTGATGTGCGAATAGACAATAGGCTGCATAGCCCGAGTCCATAACAATAATAGCTGGAGCTGCTTGTCTTACCTTGTTGCGTTTCTACCGGTCAAGGGATCTTTGATTTTTCTAACCTAACTAATTGGTATCATATCAAATGTCGGTCCTAATAGAAACAAAAATCAAATAGGTCTTCTTTCGTTTGTGTGCTGATGTTACTGATCAAATGCTAATCAAGGTCTATAGCCACTTTAAATCGTGTATTTATCTGCTGGTACTAACATAAACGTAGTCTCGCGCTGATAAGATAGTTGACGTGCTTCCGGTGATGTTATGAATAAGGCGCCTTCAAGCCCATTTCAAGTCTGGTCGTTCACCGTAACAGGTAGTTATAGCGGATAAAAATTCTCTTTGCTGGCAAACACTTCTCTTTGTGTGGAATATGTGGTTTCCTGAATGGCTGTTTCCCCGTCTACCCTACACCATGGTTTATTCCCACACACCATGTTTTATTCCCATACTGAAGGCGTGAATGGGATGTATCGGGTTTTCTATAATAATGCTGCCGGATTGCTCGTGTTTACAACCCAAACCTTAACGTGATCGAAAAGGAACGATTGTCGTCAACATTGGAATCTATTCGTGATATAACATTCACCTGAAGGATCCTGAAGAGGCAGATTCAAGAGTCTTATTTTGTTGCCAAGACTGCACGGTTATCTCCTTAGTGAATTTTGACTGTTTTTGTTACAGTGAAGGGTAGATTTCTTTTAACGGCCAATACAATCTTCTACAAGTTTTTTCAAGCTATCAATAATAGACATTGTTTTGAGGCGGACTTAACTGAACACGAATATTTAGCGTGCCAACTGGCGAAGATAAATGTACACCATATTATAGGAATAGAAATATGTTCTTACTATAATACCTGCAACGGGTATTGGTTTAGTGGAGGATTGGTTATTTCTTTATCACAGTGAAGCAAATTATTCAGTGCTCTCGCCGTGAACATTTAAAAATAGTGCTACTGCAATAAACTGCGACCGGTATGAGTCTGAGATTGTAGGTGTTGCAACGTCAATAAAATATATTAATCGTTTGTCTCGCGATGTTAAATCACGGCACGGTTCCCACGGTCAGGTAAACGTCCAGACGAACAATTTTACTTCTACATTGGGTAAAATACCGCACATTGTCGATTTGGTGAAGGAAATTCCAAAATTCTGTCTCAGCAAAAGGTCAATAAAGTCAGGGAAATACTTGGGCCCATCTTAAGTTCTCTCAAGCGGAAATGGAAATTGATTTTTTTGGCGCCTTTTGCCAACGAGTTAAGTTTTATTAGCAGATTATCTATAGCACAGGAAACCAAAAAGACAATGAAGGAAACGATGGAAAGAAAAGTGCTTTCGCCTCTCTCGGCCCTAGAGAAAATTGGTAAGTCGGAGGGTTGTTTTTCTCTTATGTAATGTATAGGGACCCAGATAAAGATCACGGCGTTTCGATCGTGTACGTTTGATATATGTCATTGTTGAGCTGCAATTGGTTGATTTCGATCACGTCTTGATGACCAGTCACCTAGTGAATTTCTTTGTAATTATATCATCATTCTACGCGAATCTGTGTGTTCTTCGACATGCTCTTTTCTCCTCGCATCCAAACGTTTTATCATCGGTTGTTTGATCATCTTCAGCTCGTTATTCCGTCCTCTGCAGCATCAAATGAAATTTTGTTTTACCGGATATGCGATAGGGCATATAAACTAAACGAGATGCACGTGTCTTCGAAGCTCTGATCTTTCGAAGGAGCCTTGTCCAATACAACCTCATTCCAACGTAAGCAACGCAAACCGACGATTCGTCCTTATGAGGTGTAAGTAAACTACATGATTGGTGCGGTATCGCCTAATTTTTAATCCTTTGAATTGCCAAGTTTAATAGCTCCAACGAAAATACTCTCCATTAATTAACGAGATAAAATCGTTGTCAATCGATCCTGGTATGGCATTTATTATTCTGCAATTATATTGAGTTCTTTGCGGTTTGACCTTTACGTTCATTTGGTGGAAAAGCGTGAATTCCTTTTATTCATAGTATCTTGTTAATCGCATTAGCCGAGTGAGCCAACAAAAATGAACATGCTTTAGGTTTTTAACACACTACACTTGTAGATAATTGAGACTAGTATTGCAGCCGGACATGTATAACGGGGACAACACTGACTGGATGCACAAGGTACACCCATTTTTTTTTTTTTTTTAATCGCACCATGTATTCGACTACAGGTATTTTAGATGTTTTATTACAAGCATCAAGTTCGACAATAGAAAGTCTTGATTTCATAACAAATAAAGGCAATCACCGCCAGCACCTTAATAGCTTGAGCCTTTTAACATAAAGCCACGATAATTAATAGGCGGAGTGTAAAGCAATACAGGTCAGGCTCAGTATTTCAAATATGCTTCTAATAATAACAATTGACTTATTTTATTTTCTTCACACAAGAGACTATAGTCTCATGGTTCATATCATGAGAAACAGATTTCTCTCCCTGGCGAGAAGTACACCAAAAGGATGGAAAATAAATTACAACTGGATTTTTTGTTGTCTCGAGAGGATTATATTTTTGAAGTTTCGGCTTTACATTTAGCCACTTTTCAGTGTCAACAAAATAAAAAACCTTAATTACCATCTAATGAGCTAGAAATTACCAAGGTGCTATATATATATACATCTGCGTCAAAACATGTCGAGTGCTTTGTTTGTCAGATTTTTTACAAAAATGTCCTCTTTTCTCTGGAAGCAGTACACGCCAATAACTGCTGTTTTGACAAGAACTGTTTACGACAGAAGAAATCGCCGTAGAACTTTCTTAGGAGTGACCGTAGGTACGTTGTACGATTATTATCTTGTTTTTCTTTGCTGTAATAAAATCGTCAGTCATAAGTAGGGCTTTACTGCGCAAAGCTGGGATAAACCTACAATGCTTCAAAGGGATTACCAAAGCACTGCCTTGCCCTCCAGTGGAGCTACTTATGTTGTGCAGTACGCTTTTTTGATAGTTGTATCAGATGGAAGAAAGCAGTATAAGAGGTTCTTTCAAATACGCTTGAAACAAGAAGGATTAGCAGAACATAACGGCTTAAAATGCTACTTCCTTCCTTTCTGATGCCGTTGCATTTTCCAAGACAAAAAGTCTCGAAATTTCCGCATAACACCCCTACATAGAAAACGTGATGTTGTACCTGACTAAATACGTCATTCAGTGCAATTGAAGGGGCCGCGGCCATCGTCTTTGTGTTGCCGGCATGAAATGGAAGACTAATGGATTATTATTTTGAGCTGATGTTCCTAATTACCGATCTTTGCCTGTCCACTTAAGAGTTGTCCAAATACCATTGAACATCCTATCATTTCTAATTTTGTTACTTCTGGAACGGAATGTAGCAACGTTGTCGGAGAACATGTGATAGAATATAAAACTAACACTTGTCTTTGGTCGTGAGTCGGAATGTAACAAACTAACTAACGATAAAAAATCTGTTGAATACCCAAATTGTTAAACAGATTAGCACGAAGAAAGTTGCTCGCATTCTGTGGTGTCGTTAATTCCAGTGTAAGGAGTACAAATGTCCCCTTAATAAAAATGAATTAGCCACATGTAGTATAAGCGATGAATAGTTACATGATGATAACGGCATAAATTATCACTGCTGGCATAAAGCGGCCTGACCTCATCCAGTCACTTAAGACTGAACTAGGTTTTATCATATGAGATTTGCAAGAACTAAGAGGAATACTTAACACGTGCGGTCAAGAGCTGAGTAAGTATTTTCACGTTGTAGTACAGTACATTGTCACAATAATCTTTTGAAGACACACATCGTGCTACCGCTATTGTAATAGTCTTAAAAAGAGCAAAGGTCTAAGTTTTCTTCATGAGAGGGGCACGTGAACCAAGCGATTTCTACCAGTCTGCCGAGTCCTGCATTTGTCCCTACCAGCAGGATATTCAGTTTTGGGAAAACAGAAAATTTATAACACGCGACGAATCAATGCATTGGCATATTGTATTTGTTCGTATATCCGAGAGAAGCAACCCTAATCGCTACGCAAACCGTCTCGTGTCGATTTACCAAGCGTTAGTTCAATTTTTCTTGAGTCTGATCAGTCTTCTTGCTTTGTTACTGCTTTTCTTCAGTCAGATGAGGTTTTGTTTTACTTCTTCGCGTGTTTTACTTTTTTTGGAAGAACTAACCCTTGTCCATCGTGGTTCTTTTCAGGATTCAGCGTGGCAAAAAAGGGAAAATAAACAAGTCTGCCTTCTTTGAAATCATTATACCCCGAGGTGAGCGCCAAATTTGGTAATTTCCATTTCTTTTCTTCTTGTTAAATAGGTTAAATATATTTAACCAAATTCACAGTATTCTTTGTCGATATTTGGAGTTACCAGTTATGTCTCCCACGTGCCGTGCCGATCGCTTTTCAGATATCTTCTTGTTGAACAGAAACCACATGGCAGCAGGAAAGGTTTCTGTAAAACGATGCTTAGAATGTTTTCCTCGTGAGAAAGAGCCCTGTACGGGAAGCTATTTTGGGTAAACGTTGGCAACTGAACCTTGTTTGGTGGCTGGAATGTAAAACATGATTGTCATATCCAACACAATGTACGAACGATTACACCTAATTATGAAAGGTTTTGTTATGGTAATTTAGCCACAGTAAAAAATTTTTAACTTTGTCGTCTCTTTATTTAGAACAGTGGGTCGGTGCGTGAGTGAGATGTCAAACTCTACGTTGTTACTAAGTGGATAGTTTAGTGAAATACCAGCGCTCTTGTCATTTGAATTCATTTTAGCAGTGAGCCTCGCGCAGTAAACATTAACTTGGTGAGTGTGTGTATACTTTATGATTGTTAAATTTTACCTCTAAGTGGTTGTGTTTAGCAGACTCTTTACTGTCTCGGAATATTCTATAAATATACTCATCCCAAGAGCACGTTGTTGAGTTTTATTATGCCTTCGCTTTTTAAGCGAAAGATGGAACTTTCTTTGCATCAGAATTCTTTTTCTCTCTTAGAGGACGAGAAGAAAAAGAAGAAGAAAGGAATTGTCCCAAGTTTACAACAATGGAACTGTCACTGATTTACCTGCTTCTTACACTGATCGAGACAACGTGTAACCCTTTCTGTGAAGCAAGCAACTGGCAGAACCCAAAACTTGCAAAGTGGTATCGCCCGTCTGCAGTCACGGAAGGCTACACCGAGACTGAAGATGGCACTTTATACTTAAACATTGATGAAGATAGTAACACAGTCCGTGATTTAGCCAAAAAAGTCCTTTCTATGCTTAATCTTACCGATGACATTTCGGTGCAAGGGATCTCTTTTACTCAAGTGGACTCCAGTCTTGGAAGGTCGCGAAGGGCGCCGGGGATCTTTGGAAAGGACACCCGGGTAAACATGCGAGCGTCTCTCGAGGCGCAAATGTATCCGTTCTCCACCGCCGTGATGCTTTCTTCCGGTTGCACTGGCACCCTCATAGGAGCTCAGCACGTGCTGACGGCCGCACATTGCGTGCGCAGTGGAAAAAGACTGTTAAAGAGTGCTAAAAACTTGAAAGTTGGTAAGTTTCTGTCTCTAAATATGGCGTTTGATAGAGGAATATTTCGTCTTGCTCAGTGTGGCGATGATATCATGCCAATGATATCTCTTTAGTGTTTTGTTCATTTTAATTTACGTTTCGAGATTATCGGGACGGTGCGTTATGTCACATATTCTGAACTCGAAAAATCCGTGCGTTATCCCTTTTCACATGGTTATGAATTCCTTGGTGATACAATGGCTATCGTTTGCAGAGGTTTCCAGACTGAACTCGACATTACGATGTGTCTGCTTCGTCATTTTTATATATCGGTTTGACAACTGACCACACAGTTTGTCAAGTGCCTAAAAACGAGCAGTGACTAATCGTAATGTAAAAGAAAATATCTCAAACAAAAATGGTCTTCACTTGACGTTTGTTTTGATTTGCCGTTAATAACGCAGAACTGTAACACCAAAATAATGTAAGATTATTGAAATTACTAGCCCACTAGTGAGAAACCAAGCGTGCCGTAGGGGCGTTAAGCCAGTAGTAATTAGACGGTAAATGAAATAAACTCCAGGCATTGGGTATCTTTTCTGTGTGCATTCCACGAACAAAATGAAAAGTGCTTCCTTTGTAAACTGTACGCATTTGTGTTCTTCAGCTGTTTGTTTGTTTTGGTTTCTTTGATCGTGGTCTTTGTTAAGTGTTTCCGTCAGTTATCAGCGCAAACCTCAAAGTTTTCAAGCATTTCAGCAATGCAGAATGTTTCGTGACAAGCGATCGTGCGTGAAAAATGGCAGTCTTAATTCGCTTTTAGATCAATTTTGTTAATGCGAAACCTGTCCTATTGCAACGAGTGTCAAAATATCAACCACTGCTCAGAGAATTATCATTTTTCGGAGTTTACATTTCAAAGGACAATAGCTTTCATGGTTATTTATTAAACTTATTTAAAATGATCTCCGATTAACTTCTTTGAGTAGTAATTTGTCTATGGATGAAAAATCGAGGTCTTGCTATGTTATAGAAGAAAACAAATACTTCTTTCTGTTACGAAAAAGTTGCCAAGTTACAAATACATCTTCACTATTATGCCCCTCTCACAGAAACGCCTCTGAGGGAGGACGCACTTTCGCCGTCAGAACTATTAAAGATTGGAACAGTTTACCCCGGTCTTTAAAAACAG